AAAAGTTTGGTATGTTCAATAGATTGGAACAGTATTTAATACGGCACACCGTCTGCAACTTTATAAGGCGCAGGTTTCGCCAAGTACTGTTTCTATCTCTGAGCAGGGTCTCCCCAGTCCCAGTCCTATTTAACCGCATTTAGCGCAGAGCGGCTTGAACCATCGATGAACAAGTCTTCTCCGAGCGACTCGATACGCTGGCGCTGCGAAGAGACAATTGCATTTCTTTGCATTTTATATCGCATCTACCATAGGGTGTGCTCTGAGGAATTGTTCGGATTAATCATAGCCGCCAAATTTATGAACGCAGATCGCGACAAAGCTAACGATACCATCCACACCACCTGAATACTTGGCGGTTCACCACTGTATGTTTCACTAGGAGTTCTTTCCTTGTACGACCCATCTGTGGAATCGTTTACCACCGGCGATTTCTCCAGACCGATACGACTTAGGAACCTTCAACAAAAGAGCTTACTCCTTTCTAAAAGGCCGGCAACGCATCTGCAATTTCTTGGCGGGGGTAGTTACTTTCCATCAGGTGAGCCGCATGTTCCTTTACTATAAAAAATCGAAATGTTTTATTTTATTCCATGTAGCGAAAACACAAAAATCGTTATAACCTTAGCCTCCTTCATTTCATAATTACATAACATATTATTTAATATCAACAAATATGGATGGTGGAGTTAACCATGATATCAGTTTCGTCACAACCAGTTACGTGAGTTGACCGCCTCAAGAGAAAGTGTGTGCGTGTGATGTGCATAAGTTGACGTTCATATATGGAGTAGGTAAATTGCGAGTTTTACTGCAATACAAATGTCGCGACATGGAGATAATGATTTATACTTCTGTTACGATAAATCCAGATATTTTAACGGTTTTAAGGTAGGTATGTCGTACCTTGTGTGCAGGTTTGTATAATTTAAGTAATTTAGATTAGATAGAAATTACTGATTAAAAGAGCGGTATTTAGTCTTCTGCTTTTGTCTAGAATTGTTCACTACTGGATATGACACTTTTTTGTATAAGAGGGGACAAACTAGCATGCGGCTTACTTGATAGTAAGTGACTGACACCGCCCATGAGCAACTGCAACACCAGGAGAATTGCAGATACGTTGGCGGCCTTTAAAAAAAGGGTGGGATCTTTTTTTGAAGGTCCTTCAGTCGTTTCGGTCCGGAAAAATTGCTGGTGGTAGATCTTGTAAATGATACAGTGGTGGACCACCAATATTCCAGATGGTATGGATGGTATCGCGAGTTTTCGGCCTCTCTCGAATAACTTATTTGGCCATATTTTCCTGTTTTAAAAAAGTTTCCTGGCATAGAATATTGTGACAAATAAGTTTAACCACGATTTTGAACAAATACTATGTTAAAAAGACATAGCGTATATGTAACTTTTTTGAAATAGAAGTGATCAACCAATCCACAGTTAACTGGATGGCAAGGGACTACTGTTGTCTATAGACACCTGGAACTAACCTCAACTTAAATAAAAGAAGGCCGCAGATGGGCTGTCAAAAACCCTCGTTAGTGTTTTTGTAGAATAATGGTGAAAAGACGAGCATACAGTCCATCGGATGGTAAGTGGATGCTGTGGCCCATAAACATCTTTATTTATTCTGGATTAAGAATCAAAATGCAGATGAGTTGTTACCCCTGACGAATAAGATGGAATGCCTTGTTTCCAGCAAAATCAATCTCTGGTTTTCTACCCTTAATACACGGTATATATTATAGCTGCAGCTTGGCTCTGCCACATATAGTTAAGATAGAATGCTTCGCAGCCTGTAAATATTCTGGCTCTCTATACTCTTAAGACCAGAACACGCTGAGAAGGTTTCAGGCTCAAAAGGGTTAGAACCCAGAGCCGTAAAGCCAGTTAATAAAAAAATAACGAGAAGTAGATAAGAGGGTAGTTCCTACCTAGAGTAACTCCTAGGCAGAAGGAGGCTTCTTTGATAAAAAAAAAATGACGTAGAACGTACGTACATGTTACATACAATGGTGACAAAATTAAGTATGTGTTTTCTCAATTTTGTTGCATTCTTATAACACAATATACACCAAAATATTAAAACAAAAATCTAACTGTGGAAATAAGACTGATATTTTTGTCCAATTTTCTTGACGTTAGCATAAGTCAACAGTTCGCATTTTTAAAATAAAACAAAAAGAATACCTTTTAAAATTGCAAAGTAAGTAGAATTCTGTGTCGATGTATCACATTTTTCTTATAAAGTATACTGTGTCTGTATATTATGAAACTAACGAATACTTGCATTATTGTACATTTATTTATTTTGCTCTTGACAAGATGTCAAATAATTTAATTATGTATCTTGTGCCTTGCACATGCCTTTTGTTGCGCTTTTTGTTGTGTTGGATTTTTGTTGTGCCCTTTTCCTAAATGCTAACAGTTTTACTTTTATTTTTAAATTGTTATAAGTGTGTTTATATATATAAATATATATATATATATAAATATATATAAATATATATATATATATATATATATATATATATATATATATATATATATATAATTAAAGTGTGTATTTTCATAAGTGTTAGAACCCGTGATTAGTGTAATAAGTTAAGTTTATTCTATTCCACCTATGTCTCTGGCGTTTACTGAAAATCAGTAGTTGTAGTTACCACTATGTGGTTTCTATAACATTTCTGCTGAGTAGACGCCTTTTTAGTTCATTCCATTAAATAATTATGTTATGTTAATTTGTGTGTATGTTTGGAACTAAATAAATTATATTATTATTATTATTGGGGTATATATATATATATATATATGTATAGTTTTCTCATCTGGTTGGGTTCTATAAATATATAATTATAAATTAAAATGAAGAGATAAATATACATAAATATCAATAAAATAAAATAAATACAAAAAATACATAAATAAATAAAGATTCAAACCAGACGGAAGCCCTCGGCAGGGGAGACAAGACGACCGAGGGTTAGGAGGAAAGGGAAAGAAACCGGCGGACGATGCCGGCGATATCGAGGAGCACTGCCTTCTGCATTTGAGCCCGGAGCGGTCCATCACGGATTCCCAGTCGCCTCAGATGACCTGAGAGGCTGACTGGGATTAGCCCATTCACAGAGACGACTACAGGAATAATTTCGGCCGGCAGACCACCCCACATGTCAGTCACCTCGTGAGCCAGGTCCAGATATTTTGTTCGCTTAACTGTTTCGGCTTTCACGAGGTTCTCGTCATACGGAATGGTAATCTCGACCAAAAATATCCTTGACTGTGTCCTGTCCATCAGCCCAATATCAGGCTTATTCGCAAGAATAGTCCTGTCTGTGATGATAACCCGGTCCCAGTAGAGCCTGGCGCGGTCATTTTCGAGCACGGCTTCCGGCAAGTACTTGAAATACGGCAATTTCCGGTCCACGAGACCATATTTCAGAGCGAGCTCCTGGTGTAGAATTCTGTTTACCAGGTTGTGTCTGTGCAAGTACTCAGAGTTAGAAAGCGCCGAACAACCGGAGGTGACATGCCTAAGCGACTCACCGGGATGGTGACAAGCTCGACAGACGTCGACGGTGCCATCCCTTATCCCGTTGTTGGTTTTAATAACCTGATTCTGTATTGCACAGACAAAACCCTCGGTTTCCCCGAAGAGGTCACCGAAACGTAGCCAGTTGAGGGAAGCGACTGTATCTAGAAGGGCTCATGTAGAGCCCTGTAGTACCTCCCGTGGAGCTTTCTCCGTCATACGGCCTCTCGGTCGGAAATGATAAGCACTGCTGGGTCCTTCCATTGCTCGTTGGCTAAGAATAGAGGGATAAGCCCTTTATCACTAGAAATGACGTCATTATAGAATGGATCATCCGATCTCGCCAGGAAGTAATGACGGAGGCAGCACACTTCGCGATTATGCATGGTGAGCGCGCTCAGAAAGCCACGACCACCATGCTTTTGCGGCAAGTACAGCCTCATTATCGAAGATGATGCATCCTATGGGACGTCATGGTAGTGCGGACTTTTCTATCCAGGGTGTTATGTTCAGTCTGAGTCCATCGGAGTATACCAAAGGTATACATGTGGACAGGTATGACCCAACCGTTTTATGCCTGTGTCTTATTCACACCGGACAAAAGGCTGTTAAGCACTTTGGTCAAGTGTGCATAAAACACGTCGCAAACTGACTGTTTCATACCAGCCTCATCGGTACCGATGTTCTGTGACATACCCAGGTATCGGTATGTTTCAGCCTCGGAAAGGGTCCTTAAGTTGACGGGCATAAATAAATATATGCCCTCAGAGTTAGCAACCCTTCCCCTTTCAACATGGAGGACCGCACACTTATCCATCCCCAGCTCCATTCCAATGGAATTGCTAAATTCAATTTCAAATCTAATCAAATTTAAAAGTGATGTTAAGCAATTCCATAAGATGGGAGCGACTGGAGCTAACTTGAGGTCATCCATATAGAAAAGGTGGATCACTTTTGTCCCTCCTTTCCGTAGCTGAAATCCCCTCCCGGATCCCTCCATAACAAGGTTCAGACAAAAACTCAATCCCGGAATACCCCTTCTTATCCTTATGTGGTTCTCCACAGCCATCATCCCCTCACCCAGATGACAAAGGATCGTACTCTACTGCCCCATACACTGCTCGAGGAAGTCTCTAACTGTACAGTCTATCTTGTACAGCTTGAGGACTCTCTTTAGCCATGTATGAGGCACCGAGTTGAATGCCTTTCTGTAGTCTATCCAGGCGGCGGAGATGTTCCGACGGTTGCATTTCACCACTTTGCCAATGATCGCGTCAATGAGGAGTGGTTACTTGGTTCCACGACCACCGTCCCGACATGCATTTTGAGCGCGTGACATCACCTGATTTAGCTCCAGGTGACGAGTGATTCTCGCACTCAAAACGGATGTCAGTGTCTTATATATGGTGGGTAGACGTGATGGAGCGGTATTTGTTCGGGTCTGTGGTATCCTGATCTTGAGGAACTAAGTGAGTGATCCCAGTACAATAGTGAAGAGGCTCGGGAGCGACTTCTGATCGAGAGCCTCTTGAAACTGTCGGGCGAGCACAGCGTGACACCCCTTCAGCCAGTAATGATGCAGCCCGTCGAGCCCCGGACTTTTCCAGTTTGGGGCCCTACGGACCGCCTCAGCCACGTCTTCTGGCGTTGTGGTGACGGGGTCCATAGGCGTAACACTCGCACTCTGGCTCGCCACAACTTCCATCCAAGGGCCCTCACTGTGGTTTACGGGCTCTGACCACAGACCACGCCAAAATGCGACAGTGTTAGCCTGATCCGGTCCTGAGCCCGCTCCACATACCTCTGGTCGCTCCAATGATTTATACAGCCTGTTCTGATCACTCTGGAAGAGATGATTCTGGTTGAACCGCCTTGACCTCTCGGTAAATCGCCGAATCCGCTTCCCCCAAGCAGCGATCTTTTGCTTCAGGTCATCTATGCGCTCCGTTAGTTTCTGCGTGATATCCGGCTGGGACAAACTGATATTTGTCCCAGCAAACGCCATTCTAACGGTGCGCACAACCCTCGGTCTATTATTACCCGACCTAAAGCTTGTCAGTCTGCCGATAAGGGCGATAAGATACGGTCCTCAATTCTTTTTCTCCAGGCTGGGATGGCGCTACTTTGTTTAGTAGCGCGTCCAGCCTGCATGCATGCTGCAGCCAGCATGGGAAGTTTGGCGCCAATAATACCGCAAGCTGCCATTGCGGCGCCAAAAAGAACTGAGTTCGTCTCGCAAAGGTCCCGGCTGACTTCCAAATAGGTTACCAGCATTGGGTTAAGAGCCCTCACGATAGCCTGATTTCGCTTGCTTAGGGGTATGCGGGGAAGTCGCGGTCGATTTTCGAGAGGCATGCTGCGCTTTTAAAAAATCGCCTCTTCCAATATACGTATATCCTCATTTGCTCTAGTTCGCGGGAGACCATTTCATCAACCGAATCAACCACTACTGGAAGATCCATGGCGGCTTCCACGCGTGGATGCTGGTCAGTCGCCTGAGGAGCCGCATCCCCAGCTGCAGCCAATTCATTCGATGAGGGAATGGCCTCACGTCGTAGTCGTTCGAGCTCGGCATCATCAAATATTTTCAAATATTTTCAAGCAATGCATCCGAGCCCGATACGCTATCCCTGCAGTTTCTTCCCCTTTTGCCCTATAGTATGCCCGCAATGCGTTTGCGTTCATATCCCTTGTCCAACGCATGCGGCGCACTCCACCAGCGGCGGATGCCGTTTGCCGAGTCCGAGAGAACCCTGCCGACATGTGGCAGGGTGGATGATGGATGCGGGGGGCTGCTAAGTGATCGTGCAGCTCCTCGTGCTCGGCTGGCGGCCCGCATGCTGCCGCGTCCAGCGCCAGCTCCAGATGCGCCCCGGCTACCCCCAGGCAGCGGCCCTATACGCTTTCTATTACATTCCATCATCCATTTTTGGGCGCCAATTAACGGCAGACGCCCAGGCCTGGCACCGTTTCATTGTATCATTGTGCGGCCGTAAGCACAAACGGGCCTTTGCACTCTGAGTACTGCCGAGGCACGGCGCTCATACCTCTTGGCAAGGCGCTGACTGACTGCACCGACGTAGCAGTTTTGTCACTTAACTGTTTCGTCAGCGGGCGATGGGGTCGTCACTTCCCTACGCCTTATTATTACTATTATTATGTTGTTTACTTTCATATCTCGGCTTTTACCGGTTTACTAATAGTACGGGCCTAAGCCATGTGTATATTAGTGCTGGATTTGGTATTATCCTGTGAACTACCTTATTCAGTTAGTTCAGTTACTTGTGTGTTAGGTTGTGAGGCAATTTGTCTAAGTATAGGTGTGGTTTGTTCTTCAGTTTGCAGAAACTTCCTTACTATTCTGCATGTATTTAGTATTACAGCTTTCTGTAACAGTTTGTATGTGTTGGGTGGTAAATTTAAAGTTTTTCTAGATTGGTGTAATTGCTTCGGTATTACACCGGTTGTCGATAGTACAATGGGCACTATAATTACTTTTTGAAGATGTCAGAGTCGAGTTATTTAATTTTTAAGTTCTGCATATTTAGAGAGCTTTTCGGCTGTTATAGCTTGTAGATTGTGCGTATTAGGGACTGCTATATCTATAAAGTATCCGGTTTTGTTAGTTTTATTAATCAATGTAATATCTGGTCTGATACAGTGAATGGTTCGGTCTGTGAGGGTAGCGCGGTCAAAGTATATCTTCGTTTTGGGGTTTTCTAATACACTTTCTGGGTTGTATTTATAATAGGATTCAATTGAGTTTATTAGGTTATGTTGGTGGACTAGTTTTTGGTGAAGCATATTTGCAACTTGATCATGTCTGTGCTTGTAATCTGTTTGGGCTATTTCTTTACACGCACCTTTGATGTGTTGAATAGTTTCTGGACAACTGTTGCATTTTCTGTACGTATTAGAAGTTAAGGTTTTTATAATATGCTTTTGGTAGTTCCTGGTCTCTATTACTTGATCCTGTATAGCAATCATAAAGCCTTCGGCCTCTGGGAAAAGTTCGCCATGAATCAGCCATGCGTTCGATGCTTCTTTGTCGACATTATTTTGGCTTATATCATGTCGATGTCTTCCATGTAGAATATCACCCACACTGATTTTTGTTACGCCGTCGGTCAGTTTTTCTGAGTTTTGTGTAGTGTTTTCTTTTAAGTTCAAGGGTGTTAATTTATTATCATTTTGTACTATAACCTAGTAGAGTATGGAAGATTCTGATTTGATGAAAAAGTATCGTGCGAGGGTCGTAATTTGCTTGTTATGTAAGTTTATTATATCGATTATTCCCCTGCCACCTTCTTTTCTTGGCAATGTCAGTCTCTGTAAGCATGACCTTGGATGATGTTTGCGAAATTTGGTCAGTGTTGTGTATATAATCCGTTGTAGAGCTTTTAAATCAGACTTTGCTCAGTTGATAATGCCGAAGGAATAAGTGAGTACTGGTACAGCAAAAGTATTGATGGCCTTTATTGTGTTTCAAGCGTTTAATTGTATCTTAAGTATTGTGTTGATTCGATGTCGGAACTGTTGTTTAAATTTTTCTTTAGTATATTTGTAGTGTATTTGTCGTGACTGGTTATAACCTAGATACTTATATGCCTTATTTTCATCTAGTGGTTTTATCTTATCTCCAGTTTCCAAAGTAAAATGATGTTGATAGTTACGTCCTGCTGTTATTGAGTTTATTTTGCATTTATCTATTCTAAATTCCATCTTGTGATGTTCCGAGTGCTAGTTGATGAAGTGATTTTCCGTATCAGCGTAAAGTTTTATGTCATCCATGTAAAGTAGATGGTTAATACTTATGCGAATGTTGTTGCTATCATTATAATGTAAGGGGTAACCTGCTTCAGTTGAATTTAATAAGTTAGACAGGGGATTTAGAGCAAGACAGAACCACAATGGGCTCAGTGCATCACCTTGGAATATTCCTCTCTGTATTTTTACTGGATTGGTCTCTATCGTTTTAGTCGGAGTCGTGAGTATTAATCGTGTTTTCCAGAGACTCATCAATGATGTTAGTAAAATGATTAGTTTTAGATATATATTGTACATCTTCAGGATTTCTATTAGCCACAAGTGGGGGACTGAATCGTAAGCTTTTTTGTAATCAATGTACATGGTAAATAAGTCGGACTTCTCTTTCTGAACTGTAACAGTATAACAGAATCTATGATTAATTGTTCCTTGCATCCTTGACTGAATTTTCGACACCCCTTCTGTTGTTCAGCCAGTATACTATTGTCATTAATGTGTTTATATATAAGTTCAGATACGCATGATGTAAGAATTTTATATATAGTTTGCAAACATGTTATAGGCCTATATTTTGCAGGGTTATTAAGATCATTGTGATCTTTTGGTATCATGTACGTAATTCCGACTGTCATGTAAGCTGGCATTGTTAAAGGGTTTACTGTAAATTCATTAAGATGATTATAAAGGTAACTATGAATGCTTGTAATTTTTTTTATACCAGTAATTGTGTATAAAATCTGATCAAGGCGCTTTCCAATTATGCAACTTATTAATTACCTTTTTAAATGTTTCTATTGGGATATGATCAAAAGACATTTCTTGGATGTTTACATTGCTGTTTCTAGTTTCGGTTTGTATCCAGTTCGCATGAGTATTATGTTCAACAGGTCTTTCCCAGATGTCTGCCCAAAACTTTCGCATGTACTCTGGATTTGGACCGTCACCTAGCCAGTTTATTTTTTGTACGTTAGCTGTTGTTAGTTTTATGTTTCGATAAAATTGTTTTTCATTGTTGAGGAATTGATTATTTTATTGTTTTCTTAACGTGCATGCTTTGTATCTACCTAACCGACCTGAGATGACTGCAAGTTTTTGTTTGAGTGTGTCAAGTGTGTGTGTAAGCTGTTTGTTTTGTTCCTCATGTACTGAATGAATTTTGTGCTGTTGTACTATGTTTTTAATATGTGTTTCTATGTTTTGTTCTAATTCCTTTGATGTATTGGATTACTCTGCCAATTTTTGTTTGCAACTCACCTAGTCTCCTTTCTAGTTGTTTTTGCCAATGTAGTTTATAATCTTCTTTAGCTTGGTAAGATTTGTTTAGAGATTCGTACGATAATTCTGCCCCGTTTACCTTAGCTGCTGTCCACGTAGCGCAATATATTACAGTTTGTAATGTAATAAAGTGCGTTTCTGTATTTACAGTTTCAGGGAGAGTTTTTTCATTAGGATAATGAACTATTATTGCAAGTTTTTTAGATGGCTTTTGTGTAGGGATGTAGACTCTGCTTGTGGGGCCAGTGTCTTTAAAATGTAATAATGCTTGCTGAAAAGTTTCGTCTATTAAGGGATCTCTCTCAGGTTGTGATAGATTATGTAAAGAGACTTCAATGCTATTTATAAAAGGAATGTCAGTATTAGTGTCTTGTGTATTTTCTTGAATTGTATGAGGAATTATATTTGCATCTTTTGAATTATTCAGATTTATTGATAGTTGTTTATTTACTTGTTGTTTTATTTCATTTAATTTATCGCCACTGATGTATTTATTATTAACTATTCCTCATCTTTGGTTAGCTATTCGCTGTTAATTTAAATGAGCAAGTGTTGGGAATGCACTATGGGAAGCTTCATGTAATTTTTTTCTATAAGAAGTTCTATTTGTATTTAGTTGAGTAACAAAATAGTGTGGTTTCCTAAAGAGCGGTATTTGACGTCGTAGCGTCAAAATTTTTTGCAGCTATTTGCCTGTTTGCGTGACGACCGTCTTGACGGTGTCAGATAGTTTACGAATGTTTTTTCGATAGCGGTGACCGGTGGCGATAAGCAAAATGAGCTCCAACTTCAACTGGATTAGCGAGGACTACGAAATTTTGATAGATTTAGTGCGTAACCATGACGCCATTTATAATAAAATGCAGCTTTTTGTGACTGTTGTTTGTTTTGTAACTCTCTAACATCTCTTATGTGATTAAGTACGTAATTAAATAAAACTGGTGTTAGGCAAAAATATTCCCA